CTGCTTTCTCTTTATCTTTTCTAATCTCTTCGATTGTTGTCATTTTTGTTTAAAAAAAAGTTTTAAAAATGAATTTTAAAAAAAAAAAAAAATTTTTTTTTATTGATTTAGATCAGCATGACGATATTACACTAAATAAAACCAATCAAAAATTCTAAATTTTCATCACGTGCATATTAAATGATTAGCTAGATATGATACTAATGATACTAAATAGTAACGAAAAGTGCATTATGCATTAAAAGAACGTGTATACATGGTATACATGGTAAATACTAGTAGTAAAGTTAGTGCGTTTGTGTAATAAAATGACTTCGTATTTTAGTTTTTTATTTAAAAAATCGATCTGTATTATACTTTTTAAAGGATAACACGAAAAGTTTAATAAAAAAAATATATTTTTACCGAAAACTAATTTTAAAAATTTTATAAATAATGACCCGAAAAAATCTTGGCCCTTGTTCTATTCATAATTGTCAAATAGAATCAGATCATTATCGTGGAATTACAAATAATGCATTGAAAAAAGCAAAAGAAAAAGGCACCTTTAATCAACATAATTATTTAGAGCAATTATGTTATCCTCATTATCTTAATATTATTGAGCCTGATCGCAATAAATTACCAGCTAATCGTATGCGAAACACTAATATACAAAATAATGTAGTTGTTAATAATATGAGACCATTATCATTTGGTGACAAGATTGCGTTAATGACTAAAATATTATATGACAAACAGAGAAAAGAAAATCAAATACTTGAATTGGATCCAAATCGCTTTCAAACATTGCTTGAAAATGCTGAACCATTATTGAAAGGATTCTTTAATGAGTTATATAATTCATTTATTCCAGAAAGAAGGTCTGCTTATAATAAAAAAGAGGACAAAAAAAAGGTAATTAATATATGCTATTCAATGGCAGCGATACGTAATAAATTTGTAAACCATTATCCTTTGGAAATCGGACTCTGTCTTGCAGCGTCAGGTGCATCATGTGACGCAATCAATACAATGCATAATGCTGGCATTTCTGTTTGTTACAAAACTGTTGAAAACTATAGCTAATGCACATCCAGAAAATATTCGAAAGTATTTTACTGAAAAGGTAAGCATTTTGAATACAATTTTTAATTAGAATTAAACTAACACTTTTGACCATTAGAATAATAGCTTTTTTGTATATAATCTTGATGATTATCACAACATACATGGAATAAGACGCCCTGATACTGTATTTCTCTCAACTGCAGCCCATTTTGCAACATGTGTTAGCAAAGAAATTTCAAACTGTGCCCCAATTCCAATAAATTACAATGGCAACTCGGTTCATAATCCTACCAATATAGATGCATCCTTGATTTGTTGGCATTTAATTACACAGTATCACGGAATTTTTGATCTATCATATACACAAAGAAAAAATCAGTGGACTATCTCACGAAGCATAGATCTCACTAATTTTGATCAAGTTGATCTATTAACAGTTCATTGTTATGATGATGCTATAAAAGATAATACAAAAGAAAGAAATATGGAAGAAATATGATTAGTTGGAATTAAAGAATCTCAACTTCATTCATTAAATGATTATCTAAATGCATTGGAGATGATTCTTTCAATAAATAAAGATATTAGACGCATAAATGATTGTGTAATGCTAATCATTGCTGATTGGCCTGGACAACTTTTCATACAAAAAGCATTAACTTCTCTACATCAACCAAATACAACATCACAAATACCAGCATCTATTGATGTCTTTATACCTATATTAGGTCCTCTTCATGTTTCATTAAACAGTTGGAAGCAAGTTTTAATAATTTATTATTCTTTTTTTAAAAAGCTTTTTCTGAAAGCTGAAAAATTCTTGCAAAGAAACCAAAACCATGGAGAATCAATCTCCTTCTTGAACTTGCTTACCAAGGATGGTTAAAGATAAAAGTAAAGATACTAGAAAAATTTGGATCTACATATAAAGATGTAGAATATAAAATGTTAATTGATCTTCTTGATAATGTAATTCTAGCAACACTAGGCGTATATGCAATTTTTTTTTGTTCAGATTCTTTTGATAAATACATTGAAACTGTTTTTCGAATATGGACTTTTGCATTACGCTAAAATCGTAAAAATTATAACAAGGTCCCTCTAGCATTCTTGTCAGATATTTTTTATTAGCAAGATAAAAAGCATCTGATATTAGATATAATCAAAATGTTTCTTGTAAATTTCAATGATTATTTTGTTAAAAACTTACATAGTCAAATACGAGCAAATACATCATCCAGTGATAGTATCGAAACTATTATTAAATAAACTTATATTTTAGGTATATATACAATATAATTATATTTATTTAAAAATAATATTAACCAAGTTTAAAAACAAATAGATGCAAACAAGCAATCACTATTTAAAAAAACATTTTATACAAAAAAAAATACCCATATACACCCTCTATTCTGGAATATTTGATAAATAGAATATTATTATTTTTGCTAGATTATTTTCGTCAGACATTTCACCATATTAAATGCACACCTATTAAAATAACCACTAGTGATAAAAGGCAAGAAAGAAAGAAAAGAAACAATTCAAAATATAAACTTATTATTTTAAATGAAGAAGTTGATGTTATGTGTTTACCAACAGATTATAGTACCAGAGTTCCTTCCTTACCAGAATTTTGTGACAATTGCTATAAAAAATTGGATGATGATGGTGGTGACACTATATTAATCTGTGGTCATAATTTTCATTGGCATTGCTATGATCAAATGGAATATGGATGTCGACACTGTGAACAATATTACAAAAATGGAATAAATAAGAATATTAATTCATTTTTACAAAGACTTGAAAAAGGAACTAATACATTTTCTGAAAATGATAGATTTGAAGAAGAACTACAAAATTTAGAAGAAGATACAGAAAAGCATGAAAATATTCAAGAGATATAAATTTACAAAATGCATTAGAGGATATAGATAAATGGTAATGAAATAAAGATATCATATAAATACTAAATTTGAATAACTAATATGACATTTATATTATTTTCACAATTTAAACATAAGTGAACTACCTTTAAACACTTGATCTTACTTGATCTGAAAGTTTTAAACAGTCTATTAAAGCATGAAGAATACGCTATTAAAAAAATTTTCTTTTGTTACATGAGAGTTGTATCATATTACCATTACCGTTACTTTCATATGACTATACTATATATTGACCAATCATATTTGATTTGATCATAAAAATAAAACAGCTAATAAAAATGAATTTCTATCATACTTTTCCTGATTGGCTCTAATTAAAAGTAATCAACGCGTGATCAATGTGACTGTAATTGGTCAAAAATTGTATACAAAATTTGAATTACTATTCAAACTCACGTGTTTTAATATTTAATAATTTTAGAAATATAAAAAAAAATTTTATACTGTGCTTAATAGTGAATTATACATATAAAGATAGTACTCTTCGCTTAATTACAGAACTCACATATCAAAAATGTCATAAGAAAAATATATTAGAAACATATCCTTACCTTGAAATAGGAAAATAGCTTTGTTATATATATTAACGTAAAGTAGTGAAGCCTAATCGTGAAAATATACAGTATAAACAGAAGAAAAAGTTAAAAAACCAAAAAGGCTGTAGAAAAAGAATTGCACATAAAGAGTCTCACTCAGTTAAAGAAAATAGTATTGAAGGTAATATAATTAATATTAATTATAAAAACTTCTTATTAATATCTAATTTTATTAATTTTTTCTATTTAGTTTTAATAAATGATTCTACATTTGCATCAAATGTAAAATTATTAACAAATGTATTATATAATAAGTAATGTTAAGAGTCTGTTAATTTGGAATTAGATCTAATATAATTTCAACATATGATTGAAGAAGCCAATTCTAAACTAATAGGATTCTTTTCTTTGATGGTAAATGCAATTATTCCTAAGGATCGATTAGCATATAACAAACAAAAAGCAAAATATCAAATGTTGCTTTGTGTTATATGATTTCTAGCTTGTATAACAAATTCGTTAACCAATTTAAAATAAAGGTTGAGTTATATTTAGCAGCATCAGGTACTACTTGGAAAGCAATTAATATATTATCAAGTCTTAGATATTCAGCATATGTCAAGACAGTTGTGAACTTTCAAAAAAAAATTCAAGCAAATCATATAATTAAAATTAACAACCATTTTTTAGAAAAAATAGTTTTTTTTATCATATAATGATATTATAATTTGTAAAATTGAGAAGTTATTTTTTATTAGAAAGACCGCTTACATATTTACAACATAGATAATTATCATAATATTCATAAAAAGTGAAAGCCAGATACAACATTAACATTAATAGTAAAGCATTTTGTTACTTATGTAGTAAAACCTATTATAGGATGCCTTGCAATACCAATAGTATTCAATGGGATATCCATTTACAATCCAAATAATGTTGAAGCATCAAGAATTTGTTGATACTTGCTTAATAAATATACTGGGATCTTTAATATTATATATACAGAGCGTCAGTCATTTTAGATCTCACAAAAACATCAAAACATTAATACATTTAATTGTATTAAACTTTTAACTATTCATAGTTATGATAATTCTATTATAGAAAGAAAAGATGAAAGATCAATGAATAGACTTCAATTAATTAGTTTTAAAGAGCAACATTTACATTCAATGCAAGATTATTTCAATGCATTACAAATTATTTTAAATATAAGTGAGAAAATAAAACATTTAGAAAAACAAGTTGCTCTAATTGTTGCTGATTGGCCTAGACAGTTATTTATTAGAAAAGTATTAACACATTTGCATATATCAAAAAATCTACTATTTCAAAAAAAATTAAATCATTTATATCAATGCTAAGACTATTTCATCTTTCACTTAATAGTAGAGAATATATTATCATTATTTATTACTCTTTTTTAAACAAATATTTCATTTTGTATTTGATAAGTATAAAAAACTAGCTAAGAAACCTAAACCTTAGCAAATAAACCTTCTTTTAGAGCTTATGTGAAATGTTTGGATCAAAATTAAAAATGAAATTATGCAAAAATTTGGTTTAGCATATAAGGATGTTGAATATTAAGCAACAATTGATTTGCTAAATAATTTAATACCAGCAACACTTGATATTTATGCAATTTTATTTCGATCTGGATCATTTGAAGAATATATAAAAACTGTATTTCGTATTTGAACGTTTGCGTTATGTTAGAAATATAAAAATTATAATAAAGCACTTCTTGTATTTTTGTCAGATATATTCTATTAGCAAGACAACCATCACACATTTGCTAATGCAATTAAAAATTACTTATCATATTTTAATGACTATTATATTGAAAACACTCATAGTAAAATAAAAGCAAATATCTCTTCAAATGCAACAGTTAAAAGTATCATAAAACAGACATATGTTATTAGTATATGTATACTTAACTTGTCTTTTATTAAAGATAATAAATTAATTTGTACTTATTTTTTTAATATTGATATAAATAGTAGACTATAATCCTATTTTTAAAGATACATATTGCAAAACTTGTTATTATCCATACAATTCATCTACACTTGATTTTTTATTCAACAAAACTAATCTTTTCCTGTTAAAATACTTTTGTAGCATATTTCAAAATTAAAACAATAGTATTTCATTATATACTAATGGAAAAAAGAAAAAATTAAAAGAATATAAATTAGCTACTTTGAAAACAGAAGTAGACTTGTGTTATTTTTTAATAGTATACAATACATCACATCCTTCACAATTGGGATTATGTAATTATTGCGAACTCTGATTGAATAATGATGATGTAGTATAGTATATTTCATAAAAAGCCATCAAGTTATTTATTATATGTTTCAAATTTCAAAAATTTGTATAGTCACGTAATAAACATAATACTGATTTATAATTGGTTAAAATTTCAATCACATGATAATATAATTAATAAAATTTAAAATCTGATAAAAAACTTTATTTTATTAATTTATCAATATTTTCAAAAATAAAGTCCAGAATAGTTCTATGTGATTTATATTTTTTTAAAATATATATAGCTTATAAACCTGTTAATCCATTTTTATAATATTTCATAAATTTTGCTGATTTTTAAGCATATTTACGTATATGACTTAAAGAAACTAAATTTAATGTTTTTGGAATAGTTTCTTGTAATCCTTTTCATGTATAATTACAATGTTATTGAGTATATTATTTGCAGCTTCCCAATACATCTTAATATAATTAAGTTCATCCTAATTCTTTAATAATTTCTTGTAATAATGATTTTGATTACAAAAATCCTTTTGAGTAGCTAAAATATGACGTGTACAATATTTTGAATTTTCTAATGATGTATTATTTTTACCACAAAAAGCTTTTAATCCAAAACCCCATAAACTACGTTCCTGTAAAACTACTTTTATTCCTTTAGGTTTTTCATGAAGTGTTTCATCAGGATAATCAGAAGGAAACATTATAGATTGAACTTGACCATTAAATATTGTATTACGCATAATTAGCTGCTTATCACCAGGATTAAGATTCATATTTGCTGTATTAAGAGTATTATCAGTCAGTTTTGCATGACTAGAGGAATTATCAAAAGCAAATATAATAATCATGCCTAGATGTGTTTTTTTAAAAATTGGTATAGCTTGAGTTTTTAATTTAATAGTTTGAATTTAAATTATATTAGTTTTTTATTTAATTTAATTATTTAACTTATATTAATTTATTATAATAAAAAAAAAAATACCTGATCAATTAATTGATCAATATTCTACCATTCATCAAAATTTTTCCTAGGATTAATTATAACATGAGCTTCATTTAAAATTGTGCTATCAATCTCTTCTTCATTTAATTTTAATCTTTCATTTGTATCAGTTAAAAAATCACTAATATGAATAGTTCTTCCTTGATCTTTTTTTTCGTAAAGATTGTTTATATTTAGGTCTCTAACCTGATTTTTGTCTATCATTTGATTGAAAAGTTGTTTCATCATAGGTAATAAGAACATGTATTTGTTGTTCACCTTCTAATTCTGGATCAATTCTAATTTCAAGTTCATTACCAGTAAATTTTAGTATTAATTTTTGATAACTATAAAATTATATACATAAAATATAAATATAAATATATAATTAGAGTTTCGAATGAGTCGAGTCGAGTCGAG